GGCTTTGAGAGAAAGCGGCGGAGAACAGATCTTTTCCTCGCTAGAAACACTCTTTGACCTTTTCCAGAATTCAGTGTATCCTTGCTTTTTTATCTCCGTGTGATCAGTGCCTTTCAGCTTAGTGCCCGCGCTGCGTTTCCTATGTATAATTTTGCTGGAGAAATAGCGTTCCCTCCTAGCTTTTTGTCTTGTTTAGGGAGGGAGTTGCTCTCTGGTAATAGCAGAGGAACGTGATACTGGGTGAAAACGCACCGACAGCATCCTCATTGATCGGAGCCTGACCCTTTCTGCTTAACGTTGGTTTCTTTGTCATCAGGTCTGCTAGAAAATGACAGAATATAAACTTGTTGTCGTTGGAGCTGGTGGTGTAGGCAAGAGCGCCTTGACAATACAGCTAATTCAGAATCACTTTGTGGATGAATATGACCCGACAATAGAGGTAAACTGTTTAATCGTACGCTTTTTGTGAAGAGAGATTATCAGTAATAATGGTGGTTGTTTACTTTTGGACAGTTGCCACAAAAACATAGAACAAGGCTTTATAATAAAAAGAGCTCAAAGGTAATGGTCTGCATTTGACCAGTGTTAGAGAAGAAATCACTGTGCTTCTTCATCTGGCTGTGGAACAACAGCTGCTGTAAAAAAATACCAATTTTGATCAATTAGAGAATGGTGTTAATTGCCATGTTTTGCTAGTTTGGATGCATGTTTGTAGGGTTGGGATGCATGTTGGTAGGATCTCAGTGGCAAAGTCTTTGCCAAGTTCACCTGAAAATGCTTGGCAAAACCCTTCATGGCTTTGCATGCAACCTCCTAAATGTTACTTTCCTTTTTGGTATCAAGAAGGAAAACTTGTAGTTCTGAAACGTATGTGTCAGGCTTTCTTAGATCTTATCGTTAGGATCTGTTTCACAGGGGGAGAAGTGTATTCTGGAATTCTACGGTGAATGAGTTGGGTTTTTGTTGTGTTTTTTTTTAAAAAAACAGACTAGTGTGTGTTTCTGTAGAAAAAGTGTTGTAAGATAGCTGCTGTAGTGGATTCTTTGAAATACATGTCACAGTTCCTCAAAATCTGAAATTGTATTTAAGCTTTAAAAGTTGTCATTTTAAAGGTTTTTAATGAGCAAGCAAGCTCTGCCTTTTAAATATAAGAAAAATACTAGTGTGGTCTGAAATCTCCTGTGGATCATTGGATTTAATAACCTCATACCATATAACAGGAGAAATGATGCTATAATTTACCCAAGATTTTCATGTTCTCTGCACTGAAGCTCTGTAGCTTATGACTTCATTTATATGTTTACACAATGAGGCACTTCCGAGCTCACTTGAAGGAATCCCAAGGATTTAAATCTAGGCTTAAAATGGTGACTTGGAAAATGGCTATGTAGTCACTTTCAGGTAAACATGAGCAAAAGGGGCCAGTGCCCTGAGATGGTAGGAAGCTGTCTGTCTTTAGCAAGGTACAGGCCCGAGTTAATGTGCCCCAAAGAGAGATGTGTTGGCTCGAATTTGAGTTTACCTTGATGTGCCTGTGTGTCTTCTTGTCTCTCTGTTGCATGACCAAGTACCCTCATGTATGCTGTAGAAGATTTTGAGAGTAGACCTATGGAGAGAGGAAGAGTGTTTGACTTGCACTAGGAGAGCAGGTCTTTTGATTACTAAGATGGGAAATCTTAAAACAACAACAACCCGAAACGTGCTTAAAAAACAGAAAGCACACCGAACTCATTGAGGTGAACAAGCAAAATGGGATTTTACTTTTTCCTGCAGAAGGAACTTTGGGAGATGTTCATCTTTGTAATACTTGTACATAACCATCTGGGTTTCTCTTAGGATAGAGGCGTGTTTACACGTTACAAAAAGTACTGTGGAGAATCTGTATCTTAGAAGTTGTCCTATAAAGCCAGAACTGTGTAAACAGCTTAGGAACACAAAAACTTAAATGCCAGTATTTCTAAACCACTTGAGGCATTTTGCTAATGAGCAAGCTGAGTATTTTGAGGAATACTAAATACACATTAGTGTAAAATAATAAGATTAAAATACAGTTCCTTATAGAAAGAACCTAAAATCTCATGACTGTGGCTTTTATTCGGTAGTGTGCAGGATGACTGTAAAGTTGTGGTGTGGTCCAGAATCAATACGTTCTTCTGAAAGAAATAAACCTTTAAGCTAATGGGTTTTACCAGCATCAACCACTTGTCGCGTGCAACAGCATTAGTCTTCTACAACTCCTACAAGTTCTTGTCTGAGCGCGAGTTACCATTTTTTATCTTGTAAATTCTAAGACCTTGAGGATGGAGACAGTATCTTCCTACTAGGTGGCAAATCACCTTGTGTGCTCCCAGTGCTATAGGAGAATCATGTAGGTAAGCTGGTAGGGAAGACACGATTCAGTTATAAGAGAGTGGTCTGTGATTTGGAGTGGCAAACCAGTTTCAGAGAACGGGCTTGTGGTTGGGTTTAAACCCTCCAGTCCTTAACTGGACAGAATCCCGTACAGTTGGGAAGGGTTGCTTGATTGTGCTTCCTGTGTGGATGCAGTTGGGGTGGTAGAGGCTGATCAAAGAACAATAGCTGTAGACTGTTTTTTATGCAGCATGAGGAAATAGGGCTAAAGTTGCTTTGACTGGTAAATAACAACAGTTAAAACAGTTCAGTAGTGTCACTGCTATTGTTTCTCACTTACTACTGTTTCTTTCATTGCCATATGGCTGATGCCAAAATACTTGTTTTCCCTTGCAGATAGATAATCAAGCTAAATATTTCGGTGTAGACAGAGAAAAGAGTTCAGTGTTTTGTTATCTATAGTGGATTCCATAACTACACAGCTATTGAATAATCCTAAATCTTTCCAGTGAATGAAGCTCAACACTTCTAAAATTCTTATGTTGCGAAGACGTGATGCAGTTGAAGAGATGAAAAAAAAGTACACTTGTTACTTAATCACAGATGCATTTGCAATGTTAATGTTGTTGCCAGTTTTGGTGGAATAGACTTAATGATTCAACAAATAACTGACTTGGAAAATGTCAAGTTTCATGGCCTGCTTGAGTATTTTATTTCCTTATATCTGAGCATAGCAGATGACGGGGGGGTAGTGGGAGGAATTAGAAGGTGTGCGCGTGTTTGGGTGGCTGCTGTTATTCAAATATACGTACTTTGTGTTTCACAGTTTCATATCTTATTTGAATTAGATGTCCGAGCACAGATTTATAGCCAAGCAGTTTTAAGTGTGGGCTTTTTTTAACTGTATGTACACTAACTCTTGTAAATCCGGCCTGATACACGCAGCAGTTGGGCTGGTGCCCTCCACTGGCCGAGGTTGGTTAAAGCTTTGCTTTATTGGCAATGCCTTGTGTGAGAACAGGATTTTTAATTTTTATTTTTTTTTTTTAAAGCTTCAGCATGTTTTATTGCTAAATATGTCATCTTTTTAATGTCTTAGAGAAAAAGCAGCCTTCCTATTTGCTTGTCGGAGGTTTTTCAATTGGATTAGCAAAATCCCTCGACTGATTTAGGAATACTGGTATTTAAGTCTGTGTTCTCAAATGACCTATGCACCTGCGAAACTTCCACCAATATTTAGTAGTAGCTTAGTCTTAGTAGCTGTGATATTTTAATATTAAATCACTGGTACAGTGGATTTTTACAAAATAATAGTTACTTGCTTAGATGGAGTTTATTAAGCAGTGGGGCTTTTTTTTTAGATAAATTCCATATGTAGCGTAGAGCTGAGATTTCCTATCACATTTTCGTATCAGTGCTTGTGAACAGATGGAATTATTAGCCCATTAGCATAATTCATTCTGATTTTTACAGTTTGTGAAAGGCCAATAAAAGCAGGTTAAGTGATTAATGAAATTAAAACTTTTTTATTTAGATACGCTGGGGAAGAATTGCAGATTCGTATTTGGAGTCAAGTACTACTTGGAAATTAAATTCTAGTTTGCATTTTGGTTTTACTTAATAGCTTTATACTGGATGTTTCTTCATTGCATTCATTACTGCAAATCTTCCAATGTGCTGTAAAGCTACTGGATTTTTGTAAATGACAAAATTTACAGATTAGAAGGTGATTGTTTTCGTTGTTGAAGGGGAGTCTGGCCGTTTGGGTTCTGCAATTGCATTTTGAAATAGAAGTGCCACAGGTACTGCAGTGGCATAACTTTTCTTTTTGGTATCTCCTACATTCTGTTTTGCAGGACTTGATAATTTTTACAGTATGATAACACTTAAATAAACAACTTTTATCTTGGGTATGTTTACACTGGTATTCACCGCAATGGAACTGGGAGTCCCAGTAGCCTGAACTTTTAATGTGGTGCTTTGGTTTTCTTTCCTACAGTGACAAATGTGATTTCAGGTTTGATGTTTGGCAGGGGGAGGCACAAAAGCAAAGTGTTTATTATTTCAGTAGCTTGGAAGGAAATCATAAGCTTGAATTTTCTCTCCCACATCTTTCTTTTCCTTCTGCCTCAAATCCCCTTTCTAGTTAGTGGCAAAATTTTCTCTCCAGAAGTGGGCAGAAGGAATATCCTCTCAAAGCGTTCCTTCTGGTACCTGTGCTGTGCTTTATGCTGGAGCATCTTTGCTACTAGTGCTGACATGATAGGCATGCTAAAGCCAGCAGTTCTTAAAAGTGATTTTCTTTTCTCTTAAAAATGGTTTTCTTTGATGAAAATTATTTAAAGCTTTTGTTTAGAGCTCGGTTGAGGGGAATTTCTTTTCCTTTGAAGTGCTTCACTTTACATCTTGAAGTGCTAAGATGTAAAGGAATAATACAGGCTTTTCAAGAACTGTTTTTCATGTTTTTAAACCAGCAGTCAAACTGCAAGAAGAGAAAATGAAAGCTTTGTAAATATGCCTAGTATAACGCTAGAAGTTCTACTAGTACTTCATTGTGAACGTCTATGATAGAGGTATCGTAGGACATGGGGGAGGATTCGCTATTGAATTTAAGTGAATTGTAATAAAGATGCATCCTTTAGGGGGCTTTTTGGTGTGTGTTTTTTTTTTCTTGCTTTGAAACAATGAAATAGAATATTAACATTATTTTAAAACACATTGGAGCTTGTGTATTTGTCTCAGCTGTATCAATATTTAAACATGGCTTATATATTTCTAAAGTAAGTTACCTACTTCTTACTTCAACTCTGAATTTGTGCTTCTGTGAAATAAATATTTCCAAAATCATGCTGGAAGTAAACTTTTATCTTTAAGGTAAATAGTCAATATTGTTTTACCTTATACTGTTAAATGTCATCCAGGCTCAAGATAAATGAGAGATTACAGAGTTTGTTTAGTTTAAGATACTGATTCTATACAATTATCTCCTGCTTGTTTTTCAGCATGAGCAACAGGAAAGAAGAGAGCTTTTTGTGAAAACACAAAATAGATAGAAAGTGCACAGGAGTAGGTGTACTATGCCTTACAACGGGTACAAAGGAAAGAAGGTCATTCTGAATTCATCTTGAAGATGGCTAGAATTGCATCTTTAATTCCTTAATTCCCTACCCAGTAGCTTAGGTTCACTTCTGTATAGTATTAACAAGAGCAGCAGCAATATTGTGTTAATCTCTAGCTACAGGATCTGAAAAGGTAGTACCAACATTTTATGTTATGTTTAATTTGTTGCAGGTGCTGTTTACTGAGAATAATTCATGGCACTGCTCAGTGAACTATTTCTAAAGCATAATGGCATGGTTTGATTTCCAATATATAGATGCTTATAGGAAATAAAGTTATTGGGAAAGTAACGCTTATGTTCTTACTACTAAAACTATGTACTCATAGAAGCCTAGCACCAAAAAGAGCTGTAAATAGACATTAATATCTTGTTGCTTGGGACTTTGTACAGATTTTATACACTCAAATCAGTGACCTGAAAACTTAGAATTGACAGCATTGAAATAATTTGTTCCATTGTCTCTGTGAACCCATCAGGGCTCTTACATGACCCTGTGTTGCTCTGTCGTGGCTAAAAAACCTTTAACTTCAAATACATCAACTCACCTTTGATACCTTAATAACAAATCTCATTATATGCACCTGCTTAGGCATAGGAAACAGATTTCCTGTCCCAAACACTGAAGGCTTTTTATACTTCATCTCCGTTTCAGTGGCATAGATTTTAGGAATTTTTACTTGTGAACTCTTTCTGGTTTATTATTTTGTACATTGTTGTGGCACAACGCTTGTGTAAACATCCCTAGAATTAAGGTCAAATTTTTCTTCAAAAAAAAAAATTCTGGTAAATTGAGTAAGCTTAAACAAAATCAAACTTTTTAAAATCAGGTTTACAAGTTTCTTCAGTTACTCTGTTAACAGAGACAAAGGGGAGATGCTTTTGATCTGGATCCAATTTATACTTCTTGTTCTTTTGTGCAAAGTAAGAAATAAGGATGCCATCCTTTTTCTGTGTGGATGTGTGCAAATGTACTGTTACTCACTGAAGGTTCAGAATACAGCTAAGGACATGTCCTTCCACCA